ATAGATGCATATATGACTTATGTCTTATTTCATTATATTTACTATTTAGTATTTACTCACACAGGTCGACGTTTGATAAAAACACACAAACGCGCAATGTACAAACATAATATAATATTGTCGAAGATTTGTAACAGCGGAAATGTGGAATAGATGTTAATGAATGAGGTTATTGTTGTTTTTCTACAGCTTGATAGCCATAACTCATACTCGAGACACTAAATATATGTGCGAAAAGTCTAAGAATTAAATTTAAAATAATGTTTAATTACTATACATTTGTATTTTACCTATAGTATTTTATTGTGTTATTTTATTATATTGTGTTTTAGTCACTGATCAAAGAAAATAAATTTGGCTTTGATTTTTCATTTTATATTTGTTAAATGCTTATCTTAAATCTTACGGTTTTTTTTTTAGTTCACCTTAATTTTCATTCAATAAACTTTTTTTCTAAACTTTAAGATTTTTATCCTACTTATCAAAAAAATTGAATATTTCAATCGGTTAAGTAATTCCAATTTTGTATTGTTAGCTTAAGAGGACGCCAAAACCATATGTGTTGTCTCCGTCTTACAAACGCCCAACATACCAAATTTGAGCTCAGCAGTTCACGTTTTATGCCGTTATCTTAAATATTAGAGTGAATCGACCTATTATAAAACTTGATGATAAGAATATTAGGTATCTCTTTTTATGGAAGTTTTTTTTACGATAGTTCAATTTTTAAGTGAGTTATGAGCATTTTTAATTTACATTTATTATACACGCATAACTCACTTAAAAACTGAAATATCGTAAAAAAACTTCCAACAAAACACAGATAATGTTCTTACCATCAAGTTTTATAATAGGTCGATCACTCTAATTTTTAAGCTAACATGTCATATACGTGAACTGATGAGCGTAATAATTTGGTATGTTACACGTTTATAAGACGGAGACAACGCATGCGTTTGTGGCGTCCTCTTAAATATTAGAGTTACTTATTACCAATATGATTGTATTTTTACAATATTTTAATTTTTAAGTATAGTTATGTGTGCTTACATAATATTCAAATTTAAAAATTCCCAAATCGCTTGGAAATTAAAATATTGTAATAAACAACGAGAAAACACCGTTAATGTTTTTATTTGAATTTGATAATAGACCAATTCACTCCAATAGTTAAATATAACAAGTAACAACACAAAATTGGAACTGCAGAACGCAAATGTTATTATCCATGTGAAACAATATAATAAATTGCGAGTGTAACGTTCTTTTATTTTTTTTAGTTTTCACAATATAATGTCGTTGCACCCGCATGTGTCTCTCCATCTTACAAAATATGTACAACATAGCAAAAACTATTTTGCGTGGGAAAGAATCGAAAACGCTACAGCCGTAACTAAGAAACAACATTTTCACCACATAAAATGGTGAACTTTGGCTGTGCAATATTTTGCTACATAATATTTTGTTTTTATCTTATTCGTTATCAGAACTTCAAAAAAAGTTATTAAAGTTTGAAAAACACAAATAATAATGGATTTTGAAACAATAAGAACTTGTTTCGTATAAGTGATATCAAAAAAATTAAAACGATATTGCACAGTCAAAGTTCTTCTTTATATGTGGTGAAAATTTCTTTTCTTAGTTATGACTATAGCCTTCTCGGTTCCTTCCCTCGCCAAAACGTTCTTGCTATGCCGTACGTGTGTAAGGCGGAGACAACATAATATGGTAGTGCAACGTCCTCTTAACATACATAGTATAATAATAAATAATATGATATAATAATTACATTATGAATACTCATAACATTTAACATACAACAACTAATATTAACAAAAATATTCTTATTCTATATTATTATAATAAATTAATCAAAATAAATATTAACTTGAAGAAATGTATAAAAAAAAAAAAATTATAAAATAAAAATAATGTAATAACTTTTAAGAATGTAATAAACATCTGAATACGTTACAGGAAACAAAAATAATAAGTGAAAGGAGCTAATTCGATATTTTATAAATTAGGTATGATATTAATAAGATGTCAGCAAGTTATTTCCACATTCTTATCAGCATTGTACATCTTCGTTTATTAATGTAATGACCTCCTGCACTAAATAAGCATTTCACAAACCTGAAGAAGGTATTACTGCATTATATTGAATAAAAAATATCTTATTTTAATTAATAATAAACATAACGAAATCTTAATATTGGGTTGCGAAAAATTATTATTTAAGATAAATAAAACATTATTATTTTTACCATTGGTTTCAAAATAACTATTTAATCTAAAAAAGTCAACTTTGGTATCATTACTAGAATAACTTCTGTGCGTCTGTGCAATTATAAAAGGAGTTAAACAAGAAACGGTGATGGCAGTTTTTTTCCGTCTGTTGAGAATGATCAGGTACATAAAATGCCATCGCATGATTCTCAGAATTTGTCCGATTTAAATTAAATGTTGTTACTTGTGGCATGAATTTGAAATCATATTTCTTGTATTTATTCATATTAAAAAATATTTATTTAACAAATCAAATAATAATTCATTTCTGCATGAAAGTACTTAAATTTTTTTTAATTGTTTATTTTTCTTATGAAAACGATTTATGTTTCTCCCTTCTATAAATCAATACAAATAATATAATTATTAAGAATTAAACAATTTTTTTCATTTTTGCAAACATTTATAATTATTTAAAATGTAGTAAGTGTCAGTGTTCTGTCATTAATTATATTTGAAAAAGGTTTGGTATAAAATAATAAGATTTACAATATTTAATTTCTAATAATCCAGTGTAAGATAAAAGGGAGATAATTTGAAATATGAATAATATATACATTAAAATATTTTATTTATTTATTTTTTACTTAAGACTAGGTACAATGTTTTAAATTAGTTAATTTAGCATTTAAATAATTAGTCTGAGAAATATATTATAAATATAAATTTATAAACTTAAAACCATGAGGTACCTAAATTACCTAAATAAAATGTATTAGATACCTTTTATTTAATCCTCTTTTTAATTCAGAGGATCGATAACTAAGCTCGATTTAATTACACCTTTAATACTAAAATGTGTAAGGGGGTGTCACTCTGCTGTCAGTACAAGTGGGTACAAGTTGGTCACTGTAATGGATGGTGTTAAATTTGTATTTATTTATTTATTTATTCAAACAAACAATTACAATTAAATATTTACAATAAATTATATTAATAATAGCTGATACGAATACCTACTGAGCTATAATCTTGTATCTGGTTCATCGATATTACAATTTATTAGTTTTATAAAGTGAGTATTAATTGTTATTATTTATTATTATAAACAATTGAATGCTAAAAATTAAAACTAACTTAACTCACTTTTTAATTTGTTTATGCCCAGACTTGGAATCATTTCCCATGATAATATTGTTCAAATATTATCCAATTTCAGTCATCGTATAATAATAGTTTGACTGTGTATATTTTTTTATGTCACTATCATTCGTTGCCCGTGACAACGGACCTACGGGGACTACGGGAAAAATCACATAAGCCCTTAAGACCCTTAAAAAAAAAAACAACACAAATCTATCAAAACTCAGATCAATACATTTGCACAACCTCCATGGTGGCCATAAATAAACTTCTGTTTTTGTTATTATTTTCATTTATAATATATAATAATATAATATTAAATATACTATGTACAATTACCGTAGTAGTACGTGTGCAATTATACGCACTACGATAATTACAAATTACAAGACAGTCAAGAATTCAACTACAATATTATAGTTTGTCATTGTAGCCTGTCCTAAGCTATTGATACCAAAAAACAACAAGACAGTTTTTGTAGAATTCACAAACCAAAAATGGTTACGAAGCAATTTCCGTACAAAAAGAAATCAACAGAGAAAACGCGAGAAATCTGTTTTTAATTTCTTAGGTGGAGCGAGGAATGTATACTGTCGTCCTACAAGGACACACAATTTTCTTGTTTTAATATTTTGTTTATAATTTTTTATTTTGGTAGAATGTATAAATCGAATAGAATTAATTTCTATATGGGTACATATTATATTTGTTATCTATTTTCTCGTTTGACGAGCATTATAGATAATTATAATATATTACCAGGTAGAATGTAATGTTAAAATGATTTCTTATTGTTCATAGATTATTTATAAATCTGATTCTGTTTTAGTCTATTTATGGTCAATTTTTTTTATACTAAATTGAAACTATTTAGAATGAAATTAAAAGTACTTTATTTAAATAATTGTAGGTACCTATATTCTATAATATAAATAAAAATATTCAACGCATTTTTTATTTTAACTTTTGTTATATAAATAACATTATATTTTTGTGTTTGATTATTAATTATTTATAACTGATTTTTTTATAATATTCGTCAGCATTAAGAAGCAATACCTCGTAGTTAAGTTAAAAAAGTGATTTTGAGATAATATTATGTACAATATACATCAACAAAATTAAATCTGAAATATTTAAATATTAATATCACGTATAGGTAGGTAGCAAGTATAATTTAAACTTAAAAACTATTTAATGTACATTAGTTATCAACATTCTTATTGGAATAGAAACACGTATTTGATTATTTCCATATAGATAATTTTGACTTGTAACATTATAATAATATTTTACATATTTTACGTATTTTTACCCTAACACCCTATTTTCATTTTGTCTCCACTTTTTTTTTTACTTATGAAGGACTATTTAGACAATCTAACATAAATAAAAGGGTAGTGTGGTTATGCAAATTCGTTTAGTAAATATAAGATTTATAAAATAAATCTAAGCAATATTTTCTCTAAAATTCGATTAAATCTAAAACTTTATAGTATGACGATTTGTATAAATCCATGACTCAATCCCCTCCGTTATTCATAACAATCCATACACTTTACACTTTGAGTCCCAATAACCGAATAAAATATTAAACGTCGTAGATACATATTATACTACTTTCCTCATCAACTTGTCTGCCTATGTTCGTACGCACCGTCGCCTGGGTGAATGATGAACTTAGTAAGTGACCCTCCACCCGCAACCATCCATCTCACGATTATTGGTTGGCCACGAGTGCCGAGTGCTGTGACTGGGTCACGTACGTCATTGTTAGCCACCCATATCACCAGGGAGGGTTGTTTGCCAAAATCCAGAGCGTGATCGCGAGCAGCAGCTAACATTTTTGGCCGGGCTGCAGAAAATCAACCCACAACCACGCAGCCGCCAGGGACTTCTTTCGTTGCACCACCCTATCTGTTACGCGTCCTGTTGAACATTTTCTCATCATGCGTGGACGGAGGCATAATATTATACCACGAAGGTGAGTTAGGAAACGTTAATAGTATTTGATTTTTTAACTTTTTAGTTTTTAGCCTTTATTTATTTATAAGCTATAATTATTATAATATGACTTGCTTAAAATTTAAAATATTTAATACAAATAGCCAATTTTTGGTAATATCTAAGAAGTAATACTGTAATAGGTACATCACACATGTTATAGGAACGTTTATAATAATGGTTTGTTTTTCTCGATTTGCAGCTCTTAACGGCGTGTGTCATTTGTAATTGTGCTAATGACTTCAAATTTATGAATCATGGCACATAATTGAATGTACTGTTTTAATCTATTAAACCGACATATTATTATGGAAATCATAATTCATATACAACATATTTCAACATACACTTAAGAAATATAATGTTAATAATGTTATTGTTGTCAAAACATAACTAATTATAAAAAATTATCTAAATTTAAATGAATAAATCAAATTTTTTAATTTTATTTAAAAAAAGGTGGGTAAGTGGATGTCGCTCTGCTGTACAGTAGGTTACAAGTGGGTCACTGTATAATGGATGGTATTAAATTTTAATTCAATGATACAATATCATTGTATAAGAAAAACGATTCTGAGCGAAGACGGTATGTCAGTCTAGGTTTAAGACATATTATATATATATATATCTATGGTATTAAATTATATGGAATTTATGAATAAATTCCTTAAAATATGCACAGTCTTATCATGAACATACTTATTATTCCTTATACTATGGTAGATTGTATGGATAGGCCATAATATTTTGGTTTTACAGTTTCATATATCCCCGAATAATATTTTTAAATTGCAACAAAAACAAAGATCGTTAATATTGATTTTAATATGTAATTTCGTCCCAATTTGAATTTAAAATGTCTGTAAAAAATAACTGTGTTCATATATTTTTTAGATTTTTTGGTTACAGTATGAACTATTTATGAGAACCTTTGTTTTAAATTTTCAATCCTTAGCTATAAAAACTGAACATTTTATAATTTATTAATTACAATAATTGATAATTTTCGAGATTTTGATAAATTTTGTCAAAATTCGATGTTTAAATGCTTATAAAAAAAATTGTGACTATGTATTTTTAATATTTTTCAACTGCTATTGTAACAATATATCAAGAGCCTTGTATTACATTTTTACACTTTTAGGCCCAACAGATAAAACTTTATTGATATTTATAGAAAAAAAAAACTAAAAAAATTGAAAACTGAAAATGTCCGTAAACAGCTCAAAAAGAGTCGAAATATTTTCAAAATTGTACAGTGTATAGGAAATGCTAATCTGAACATTCAGTGAAGTTTTCATGTATCTATAGTTATTCGTTTTTGAATTACAACAAAATAAGGAAATCGCTACATGAGAAATCGAGTGAATATCCAATGTTGTAAAAATTTGAATTTCAAACGCTCATAAAAATTTAATTTGACTTTTCGGTAGAGATTTTTTATTGATAAAGGTAGACAAACTTATGGGTAATCTTATATTACATTTTCAAATCTTAGATTTAAAAAGACAAATTTTTACGAATTCTTAACTCAAAATAATTTACTAATTTTCGTGATTTTTCCATATTTTGTCAATTTTTGAACTTTAAATGCTTATAAAAAAAAACTGTGACTTACGATTTTTAATAATTTTTCATCTACCTTTGAAACAATATACTAGGAGCCTTCTATTAAATTTTCAAGTTTTTTTAACCAACAAATAAAATTTTATTGATATTTCTAGAAAAAAAACTAAAAAAATGAAAATGTACCTAAACAGTTCAAAATAAATCAAAATATTTTGAAAATGTCATCGTGTATAGAAAATGCAAATATAAACAACCAGTGAAAATTTCATGTATCTACATTTGTCTACTTTTTTTTTTCGGTCATTTGTTTTAATGTTACACCAAAAACCAAATTCAATTTTGCGTAAAAATTCCCGTTTTTCCATAATTTTTCTTTTGTTTTTCTTGGCGCTTTTTAAAAGTACTGGGAATTTTAAATTTTGACCTCCCCAGTGCACCAACTAGATTGACGTTTCCATCGAACAAGATACTGAAATTGAAAATCAAAACAATATTTCGACTATGTACTTATCGTGTACACAGATACAAAAAATAAAATTAAAAAAAAAACACATCATTGTAAAACCAATACATTCATCGCTCAGCTCAGAAATTAAAATGTAATTGAATACTTATATAAGTTACATTTAATTTTTTATGAATTTAAAATACAATTATAGACAATATTTTTATTTCATATTGGGGCCTCTGAAAATAACCTAGCGCGTGCCTCAAACATTTAATTTCGGGCTCTACATACCGAATAAGTCACAACCAGTAATAATTCAAATATTAAATAGGTATTACTACATTCTGTACCTATAATATAAATTAAAATGTTTCGTGTTCGTAATATAGGTAATAAATATTAAATAAAATTTATAATGTATACGCATATGCGTGTCTACCTCTACAGACATATAAGTATTAATCGGAATATTGTAAGCTATAATAATATTTATCCGCTAAATTATATTGAACATAATATTATTGTGTTATTAATAAAAATTAATAGTTAATGCCCCAATTTCCCTCTTATTCTATTCCAGGGCCTTGAAGATAAATAATGTTCATGAAGAGATAGACTATTATAATGATATGTGTTACAACTTACAGTAAAATTATGAAAATAAGTGTAAAGATGTTTAAGATTGCATAAATATTTTTTTACATGCTACAATAATATGGGTATTTCAGTATATTTAATTTTTTATGTTTCTCAAATTAATTTAAGAATAAATGAGTGTGTTTTAAGAAGTTATAACTGTAGGCCTCGATTTATAATATGCACAAAAAATTACGAAATATTATTACGTTCTTATAAATATGCACTTATGCACAAAAAATGGCGAAATTATTTCACCGAACTATGACGTAAATTAATATAGGTACTCACGAAGCACCATGCAATATGGCAATATCGAAACATTAAGAACTTTCTTAATACTTTATTAGCAGTTTATAAGAGTTATATATTGTAAGTCAAATCAGTATTTGACATTCATCATTTGGATTTTGTACATTGACATCTTGAATTCAAACTTCAAAGCAAAGATAAAGGAATTATTGTTTTATACAATAAGTTATTTTTTAATAATACGATAGGTTTTGGTTTCTTTAATAATAATATTCTTATTTAGATTGGGTAGGTACTAGGTATAATTGTATAAAATTGGCAAAACTCCGGACAAATTAATAAATAGCTTAAGTATTATGTGTTTAGCTTACAATATTGTGATGCATTTACTATTTACAAATACATTTATCGTAGAATAAAATTGTTTAGAATTAGTTATAATTTATAATACACAGTATAAACACTCTATTTGGGTAAAACTGCAAACACAAACGTATATTACAGACTTTTATGTGTTAATGACAAATGTATTAAAATACTTCACGTTTTAACAAGACTGTACCTATATTTTTAGTCGATATTAAACTCCGTCACGACGTATTTTTTTCGGATTCCCAGCTAGTGCCGAAGGATATTCCGCGTAGAATCCTATACGTATGAAAATAATATAGTCTCGAATAGTCTCGATCCGCTGGTCTTGTATAACGCAATAATATAACGCGTTTTAATGCCTCATAACGACATTCTCGACGATGACGACGACTTCGGTGACCTAAGAGTCGAACGTCTCGTTGTGTGGTGTGTAGAGTGAAGGAAGTGGTCGGTCGTATATCGTCTTGCGAACGACCCACTTTTACCATAAGGGGATTCCATACCGACCGTTTTTAAGGAGTTCGATATAGGCAATTTTTTTATTATTTCGTGCATATTGTGTAAATACGTGAGTAATAAAATATCATATTTTATAGTGTGTGGGACAGTATAGGGTCAAAGAAATTGTGGAGCGCTCTCGCACGTGTACACACACGTCTATTATTATAATATAAGCTAGGTACACGAATATTACTTATTTTTTTTTGCTAACAGTATCAATATTTTTCCAATTTTCTTGTACTAATTAAACCTATATGCCCAATAAAAATATTTGAATTATTCATGGGATTTACTTGAAAACTATTTTCTTACATTTTAAAATTATTATTTTAATATTATTAACAGTTTCAAATTCTAAATAATTAAAAATTAAATCTTGAAGGGTTAAAAAAAACTAAACTTCAATTTCAAAAAATGGAAAAGACATTAATATTAGTTAACTAACCATTAGTTAACTTCACGAAAAATGCAGATATTATGTTTTCTGAAGTCTTTATCCGTCAACTATAGGATGTCGGTACAATTGGGAAAAGATAGATATACTTGGTAGAAAACCCAGCCGGCCGCGGCAGTCGAATCTCCTCAATAGTTTTATAATAAAAAGGATGGTATAATATTAAAGTGATGTAGATACGCGTTGTTGTAGGTCGTGCATCTGCAGATAGCCGGTCGTCAACCACCGAGCACGTGCGAGAGTGTAATGTTACATACTTTATACCAACTATCGTGACCGGTCGGCTGCGGCGATGATGCAACTATACCACATATTATATACCTGCCTATATAAATTATATTATACACGGCAGGTTACATATATTTCTATAAACTGCAGTGGGTATATAGGAACTACAATATTATTATATTATGATAAGAATTACTTCATCCGTAACGAGACGACCGCGGCTGCCTGGTTCCCACCACACTTCCGAGCCGCTTCCACCTGGGCCAATACGCCGCAGAGGTTCTTTTTTCTTTCTTTCCTTCACTTACTTTATCATTATCCCGTACAGACATTATATATTTTTATTATTTATTGTCACTGCCGCCGAAAAAGACCTTCCACACACCACCTGAACGGCACACCTCTCACTCTACGCCGCCGTGCGGGCGCATTACACGCGATAGAATAATATGTCATAATATATACATACACACGCACACACGACACCATGTACCCATCTCTCCGAATATGTTTACACCCACTCCGCGCGCGCTTGCGGTGGTGGTTCGGCGTGCACGCGTTCCAAGAACCGGAGGAGGCGGTGGTGGTCGAGGCCCACCGCGTAGCGACTGCCCGGCAGTCTAGCGTCCGCTATCGAAATCCGACGACGAGCTGCTGCAGCCGACCGACACGCGTACTCTGCCCACACCAAGCAACATTATTATTTCGATTATCGTAATACTATAATATTATTCATAATATATCGCTTCTATTACCTCGTACACTCGCCCGTCGTCCTGTCGTTTCGCCATATATCCTTTGGACGTCCTGCCCCACCGTATACGTCGACCGTACATATAGCGTCTGCGCGAGGTCATGTCCGCTGTCTGCCGTCTGCTGCACGTGTACGGCGGCGGCGGTGACGATAAGACGGTCGTCCGACACATTATTCTAAACGACCACCACTGCACCAAGCAGAACGTCGGCGGCGACCGGGGCGGCTCGTAGTTATCGACCCGAGCAGAAGATGGTGACGGCCCGTTGCACCCGCGGTCTCACCGCCGGAACCACCACCGCCGCTACCGACTGCAGGTACCTACACAACTTTAATATTGACATGTATGATGAATATTGAACACGATGCGTTAACCTACCATATAACAATTGTAATGATACAATCCGAAGATTTCGAGGGTTGGAATACGGCGTGTTCGGATTTTAAACATTTTTTTTTTTGGAAAAATACCAGCCCGAACCACCGCCAACTGACGAAATGTTTAGAGATAACCGCTGAATCGATTTATATGTACTTTGAATTACCCACTCGACTCATCTAATTAGTATAGTAATTAGTAATTATTACCCATATGACTTGTGTGATAGGTACCTATTAGGTACTGACTTTCGACGACTCTGCGTGGGACTGTGATACCAACTGTACCCGTACTCTCACGTATCGTTTGTATGGCTTTTGCTGAGAGTGTCTCGTAGGGTTTTTCCGTGCCCTCTATTCACCCCTTGTCAGAATGTCAAGACTTTTATAGCTATTTGAGCATTTGGAGGGATTTTATTAGTGTATACTCTTTTAAAATATTTTTACAAATTATATAGTGGTTTTATAATTTTGAAAAACACAAAAACAAATTTTTACATTTTAGATTGTGAGCGGTGCGAGGAAGCTAGTGGTTTTACAATGATATTTATTTTTTATCCTGTAAACAAAATTTCTACCAGAAAGAGTGCTTAGATTTCAACATATAGTATCTTATTTTATTTTAGCAAATTGGACCAAGATGGAGATAGATTAGAGAAGTCATTTTTCGAATTTCAATAGTTTTGGGAAAAACCACCAAAGTTTATTTTTCTAACGCTTTGTTTATCACTATAGAAACGAATAATATTAAAAAATTACCTAAATCCAACTAGGTACATTATATACAATTAATGGTTACTTATTAATACATAATATTTACTATTCATACATTTTCTTTCGTCCGATCAGGATTGTTTTTTATCGAATGCAATCATTGCATTCAAATTGAATACCTACTGTAATAATACACTATCCTGTCCGAGGACCGATGGGACGAAGGACAAGCTCCCACCACTGCTGATCTACTCCACCCCGCTCTACACTTACCCGCTTTTTGATTTTAAGTTAACCAAAAATATCAAACATTTAACGATAAATTATTGACCTGCCCTACATGATATCTTGAACATCTTATTCGGTGAAATATCTTTTTGTATACCTAATATTGTTTACGGATACTCGATTATTATGAACATTAATATTGGTACACTCGCACAGTCGTACGATTATCATATAAATTGAATAATCTCTGTTCGTGGAAATCTCTTAAAATACCTACATCTATACACCATACAAACACTTGAAAACATTGTTATTATGGTGTTCGTATTACATTGTTCAACTCTTCCGGTGTGACAAATGACACTTGCAGCACTTCTGCACCACTATAAACTCTGTGATCGTTTTATGCAAAGGCTGTCGAGTATATATTATTATCTAACCGAGAGTGAATTAAACTGAGTATTAGTTTTAAGGTATAATATGCTTTATGTTCTAATGAACAATTTGTCTTTGAAACATGATCTAAAGAAGAGGGGTAAGCTTTCGCCTCCACAACCACCCTTGTATCCATCCCCTCTAAAACAAATTACAGTTTAAGTTCACATTCTATAGCCTTCGTTCACTGGTACGCCATCGGATATATCGAAACAATTATTATTAATGACAGACATAAGTATACAGACATACATAGCTTACGATATAATATCATCGCAATTAGTTAATAACGATAATGTGTATATAAGTATATTACCTACTATTAATATCGAACTTTATATTATAATAGTATAATATAAATTATTGTGTGTACCTATGGCATGCAAACACGCGTGTTTATTGCGAAGAACGTCGTATCATCATAATACTTTAAGTACGGTATAAAAAATGTTATGGTCATTACGTCGTGGCAGTCTTCCTTATAGCACAAGCCGGTCACGAAAACTTAAAAATCACTTCGAATCGAGTCCGTCCATGGTCATCGCACGACGGAGCGGATATTTAATGATAGTAATACAAAATATATTACCATTACATACCTACATATTATATTGTAAACGTGGGATTACGCGGGCAAACGCACGCGAGTGTGTTTTAATATAAATTTTTTTCTTGTGTTTTTTATTTTATTTTAATGAACCGGTGAAGGACCCACCGCATGTCGTCCGTTGGCCGGCAACGATATTACATCACGGCAAGCCAGCTATATAATATTACACACATGCTCACACACAAATGGAAGTAGGATAAGGCTAAAACATTCTGATCGTGGTGTGGATGGCAGTGCGGTGGTGGCGATAATAACATAATACATTATAAATATGTAGGCGAGAAAAACGAGGAGAGAGAAATCGAGAACGAACTGAACGAAAGAGAATATAATATCGTTATAATATTATTATTACTTCGATAGTGAAAGTCACGGCGGCGATGCCGAGGCCGACGACCGGCGCTCTATATATGATTATTATTATTATTATTATTATAGACGATGACGCCCCGAGAACCTTACGGTGTACTGTAATAATACTTTAATACGTACCTACTGTTGATTTGTCTGCAGTTGCCCTTGAAAAAATACCGTATGTAAAAAAAATATTATGTTGTATGTAGGCTATAACATGAACACAAGTACCATAATGGCATAATATGACCGCGATGAGTCTAGTAAAAATTCTTCTATACAATTTAATAATAAAACCATTTATTAATCAAGAATAATAATGTTTTCTAGTTATATTTTGAGGGGAGGGGTGTGGGGTTATACAAATTGATTGCATAGTTAACCACATGGTCGTAGCCCCTTCACCACCCTATATGACCATAAGAACAATAGAATATACATTTATCATGATCATACCTATGGTATGATAGGCAACAGTTAAACACGAAAAAGGTTTATCAAAAGTGAAAAATTCTCAGTAGTTTTCAAGATTCGGAAAAAAACAAAAAAAAAAATATGGAAACACAGAGTTAGGATCCACAATATATTTTTATGAGAGTAGGAAGTTAGACATTGGATATTTCACCTGTAAATTAACAAAATCTCATAGGAATTTTCTTATTTTGTTGCAATTAAAAAACTAACGACAATTACTTGAAATTTTCACCGAATGTTTTTTTCATTTCTATACATCAATATCGAACATTTTCAAAATATTTTGACTCATTTTAAACTATTAATAGAAATGTTCTTTTTGTTACCTTTTTTTCTACAAATGTCAATAAATTTCTAAATAATTTACCTATCTAGACGCCTACAGCAGATCTATACCGACTTACCTACTTTTTATAAATAATATTTGTGTGGGTTCACTACCTTGTAATTTATCTTATAAATTATGAATAAAATATATTCCCCCCCCCCAGTAAAAATACCCTCCATGGCACTGCATTGATATCGTTCTAAAAAATGACGTTGAATACTTGAATAACAACTTGTCGTCGTGTCAGCAACAATAATAGGTCAAATTACTCACATTATTAAATAACAAAAAATAATAGCACCAATTAGTCTAGCCCCGTTCCTACGTATCATTTATACTTAATCTGGCCTGGATAAACAACAGTGCTATTTACCAATGGTATGGGTAAAATGTAGACAATATTGCAGTGGAATCGTAGAGACGTGCTAAGTGAAACTGAATTTTTGACTCCCTAAAATGTGTTTGCCAAAAAAAAGAACAGACCTTCGTAAAACTATTAGTTCGAATTAAAGAAACTCTACTCTTTTCGTTTCGCAACGAACCTAATTGGTAACCAAACCGGGAGCGAAACAATCGAAAACGTATTATTGTTACGTCGGTGTCGTATCAACGTTATACATATTGTATGACGTGCTTTCCGTGTACAGCATATGAATACCAACTACAAAGTGATAACGGGACTGGGCACGATCTAGTTGAAAAGTTACAATAGCTGGTTATGTATATATAGAAGAATTTTTCGGTAACCTAAAATTGAATTAGGTAGTAATTTTATTCTCTTGACAAGTGAAACTTTATCACACTTAAATCTACAATAAATTAAAGTTTGATTCATGCAATAAATTAAATGGTTGATTTTTAAAATATTAAAGTTAAAAACATAAAATCACAAACCCACACCCACTTACTAGTAGGTTTAATGCCACTCTAATAATCATGTTAAATATACATTAACCAATTTAGACGGTGTACATTAATTTGATATCGAGTACGGGCTCTCTCGCTTCTTATGAGATTTGAAGTTGTAGGCAATTTTAATTAAATATTGACTTAAACAAAAACTTATATTTTTAATTATATTTGAAATGTTAAGACTATAAATTAAAATTAGGTAACTTACAAGTGGTACCATATCAGTACCGTTGTTAGTGGTTGCATAATATTACAATATTATATAAAAAAAAAATTTCCACTAACAGTACTCAGGCTATACTTATAGTGATAAGGAACAAAATTTATATACAGTATAATAATTTCTGTGCCATACAGTTTTTATGATTTTTATTTATATTATTTAAGTTTAAACTAACATTAAAACAAAGGAATTTAAAACACAAATAACGTTATCTGTATAATTGATATAAAAAAATAAAAACCGTACATCACAGCAAAATATAATAATATTGTCTTTTGTATAAATTCGGTTTCCCAACTGTTAGCCTAGATTTAGAATATAGTTGTTTTTCGAAACGGTTTTTACAAACAATTTGTGGGCATGCGGCGTCCTTATAACGTTTCGCGACCGATGATAACAAAATAAATATTGATTTACATAATAGTTATAGTGTTAAAAGTCATATTATATAGCTGTGGGCCACCACTGATCGATCCGTTTAAGTCGTTTTTGCACGTCTTAAGAAAGAAAACAAAAATCAGTTACGAGATATATATTATGGTTTAAAATATTCTGATATTGTACTAACAATGTCAGGAAGTGACCTTATTCGGAAACGAGTATTTTCGACCGGACAGTCATTAGAAAGAACGACCCAGTGCTGGCAGTGTAGTAACCGGTGGCCCGAGGGCTCGCGACTATGAGCACGCGTGAGACGGTTTTCGCGCTAAAAGTGAAGCGTGGGCGTGGGCGCGGTCGTTGGTACGGTGCGGTGCAGAACGTATGCATAACAATATTATTATTGTATTACGCGGTCAGTGTGCGTAATATAATGTAACAGTTACGCGGATGTCGTATAATATATATAATATCGTAATTAAAACATATTATTATATTGTTTTAATCAATTATTATTAATACGGTATTCTTCTGGATCATCGCGCGGGAAGAGAGCGTACTATACTATAATATCCGTTGGTGCCTATGTAACATTTTTTTATTGTTATTATTATGATACAACAATATTATATGTAACATCGTGGGTATATGTGGGTACCGCCGCCGCGCCTATCATTTTCCGGTCAATTATCGCCGTAATAATGTGTGTATAGGCATATCGTATATAGGAGTAGCGTAGTACCCACCAAACATGTGTGTACTTGCACATAAGATTAATATTATGCTTTATTACCTCCCCACGATGCGCACCACGTTCGTGTTCGTCTCAGTCACGTAATAGTATCCAATATTATTATTGTTATTATTCGTCGTCTCACGAAAAGAATTAATACGACGACGGAGTCTTCCGGTTAGATCGACGATATAGGTTCTGTCATACCGCCACGCCGACTCGCACAGCACGCTACACACCTCTGCAGCAACTTCTTGTACATTCCATTTTGAGAATGTTATTCTTCATACTCACGACAAAGCTGACTACGGACAGACAGTACGTTATATTGTTACAATGTATTATACTAGTTAGTTTTTTGACATATTCTTACCACGATTCGAAAACGAACTATAACTCTTTCTAACTATAATAAATCGTTGATATTTATTTTCTTTGAATTTTATTTCGAATAATATCGATATTATTATTAGTTCTTACACACATGTAGATTCAATTTACTCTGCATAAAACGAATTACAATTAAAATTATTTTTAGTTTGTTAAATTGGTATTCAGTTTAAATCATATCAAATGTATATTTCCGAAAAAGTCACAAAGTTCTGGTTCTCGAAATCTGAAATTGTCTTGCTCTGAAGTACTTACCAATTAATTTCATTTTTATGATTATTATTATTTATTTTTCACTTTTCTTTTACGCAGTGACTTTGGCCATTCTGTGAACGACAAGCGGACATCGCCGACGACCGCGACCAGTGACATCGTTTGTCACTGCTTGGCCTGTTGTTACGTAACCACGACCGTTACGACGGCCCTGCAACCACCGGTGGTCCTGACCACCAGGAGAAATAGCGGTAAGGCAGCCGTGGACACTAGTGAATCTTCTGACAGCGAGCCACCTTCCGAGGCCGCTGCTTTTGTCGCCTCCGCCTCCGCTGCGGCTTTAGTTTTGTTGGCCGCTCTGTTGGCCGTAGTGCTGTCTTCGGCCGCACTTTTGACCGTCGCGTCCATGGTGCCTCTAGCCGACGCAGCCACTAGCGATGTCCGCCGACCACAAGCCGCCGATTACATAAATTTGTGGCACCACCAACAACAGCAGAAGCAGCAGCAGCAGCAGCAACAGGTGGTTGGTCAGCGGATATATGACAACGACGCGTTAAGACAGAAGAGACAACTGTTCAAAACGAACACAAATCGTGAACCCGGAGTTGTGGCTTTGACGTTTTCGCTGATCGGTGGAGTGAGTATACCATATATAAAATATTAACCTACACAATTCGGTACTTGTTATACTTCGCCAGAAAAAATTCCAAAAAAACCCTCGACAACCATATATAGGACCCATATGCCCTAACCGTTGTACTGACATGGGATGACGGACGGTAATGTGCCTTATTGCTACGTTTATTGTCTGTGAAATAGCCATGTCATGTTTTTAATTTATAATTAAAATTAAATTGAACTGTTAAAAAAAAAGTTGTCAATCTTTTAAATCAGTGGCGTTATTAACTAGATATATTACGATGTAATGTCAATAATTATTCGTTAAAGCCTTAGAGGCATTTTTTATGGCTACAAACGGATTAACATATCATCCGTCTCCTGTGAACATTCGGTTTCGTTTCTTTCGTGATTCAATCACGTTTCAAAAATAGTATAGGTAAACAAAACTATTGACGGAATAGAACTTACTAATACCTACTTCTAAAATGCAAAGGGAAATTTAATTTTTAATATCTTAATTTTTAACTTAACGTTTATTGAAAATAATAATTAATACACTAGATATTTGAATTATTTGAGTATTTTATTTTCCGATGTCTGCACATGTATTATGGATTTATAATATTTCAATAAAAATTAGTATATCGTTTACTCGACCCCTAGCCCATACAATTGTATAAAACTAATATCGGAAATAATTTATTATTACATCGTCAATGTCATCAAATTACGTTAATGATGAGTTTAACGGCAGACACTCATAATTTTTTTTTTTAAAACTATTAATTACAGAAAATATTAAATAATATTATTTTGTTTTACATAACTTTAAGTCGTTCAAACTCAACATTTCTATAAACATTTTTTTTTTTTTTTTTTATCGTAATATTTTTAAAAAACTTTTGATGACGAAAGGCATTTTTAATTCCTTATTTCAAAACATATTTTTTGAAGTACTTTGATTAATAAAAATATATTTATGAGTTTATGTGTTATAACTTGTTAGTATTTAAAGTTTAGAAGAGTAGAGTGAAGTGGTACCTAAAAACTTTCGGTCCACTACTGACTTCTCCACTCAACTAAACTATAAACTATAAAGTTTAAGCACTAGTAAACTAATTGTCCAAAATTTGATTTTTATAGATCGAAATACTTCAATTAATATCATAATATGAAATTTTGAATATAAGTAATAAATTACAATTCGAAAAGGTTAAAAACTTAAAAAATGATAACTTTAAAAATATAATTATTTTAGTTTGTATCTAAGGACTTAAAATTATGTAAACAAAATATTTTTAAAACTCAAGAGGTTTCTGAAATAATGATTGTCTTACGCTCAATAGGTCACTGTGTCTACCTGTTATTTATATAGTTTATAGTTTCATACAAATATACAATGCCTTTTTCTATATGGGTACTGACTTACATTTTTCCATTTAATATTATATTAAATAACTGTGTGTGTATTAAAACACAGATTTTACATTTTATAATAATATACTTCACCCCCCCCCCCCACAAAAAAATTTTTTATCCTGGATCCGTAATAGTTGAAATTATATTTCTATACGGTCTTGGGTCAAAGATCTCGATCTTTATTTTTCTTCTGCTCTCTCTGTACCTCAGACTTTTTCGGACGCCCGTCAAGCATTCCGGAACGTCTCGAGCATCGTGCGCGACACAATCAGCGAGGCGTCCAGAGATCCTGCGGCCACCACCGCCGGGGACCAGATGATGATGGCCGCCGTCAATACCGCGGACAACGAGGTCGGCGGAGGAGCTGCATCCACCACTGTGGCCACGGACCAGAGGATGGCCGGCCAAGCGCTGGGCAAGCTGTTCGGTCGCAACTACCGAGGTCTGCGCAGGCTGTTCGACTCCGAGCTCCGGTCCGCCGTCAAGGTCGGTGTCCAATTAATGTCAGCTGATCGCTTTTCAATTATAATAATTTTTTTCTACGCTGATGGTTTTTCGCACAACGCATTTTCGACACGATAACACTACAACTGTTAGGTCAGGGTCTCTTATCCTGATGCATTGATTTTTATTAGATGTCGAAATAATCGAATTTCAGGTCTACAGTATTGGAAATACCCGTCTTACAGGTTATTATCGTGTTATAACTACACGGATCGTTCGTTTCATATATATATAACTACGACTAGGTAGGTACCTCCTACATACTAAACGCCATTGTGAATGTATATTAAAGTCGTCACTTTTCAATGATATAACCAAAATAGCTAAAACTACTTAAATGGGTGACTCTTTTTAAACAATTATTGTCTGTAATGTATGTATGCTAAACATGATGATGAAATAAGAGTTTTTAGGAAATTCAAAGTATTAATGTTATAGCAACTTTAAGTTTGTAATTTTTAAGGTTTTATGGACCAAGCTGGTTTATCATAAAAAATCGAGGTGTGTTTTCGATATAAATGGTTCGAGGGAGCGAGTGACCCTTCCGGGTCAATAATATGTGATGTTAGGTTAAGTTATATAAAAACGACTTTCTTAAAATAAAAAAATATTAGAGTTTACTTGAAATTCAGATTTCACAATCGTTTTAAGTATATTATGAAGGTACCAAAATACATTTGTTTGCAGAAAAAAAAATCCAAAAAAAACACCTGGTAAAGAAGTTTTATTCTCAAAAGAGTTTTATTTCAATTTATTTTTATAATTAAGTTTCAAGTTTCTAAATTATTTTTTAAGTACCCAACAACCAACAATGGTAAGTTACTCTGAATCAGTGACTATTTAAATATTTTGAATATTTAAAATAACAATTTTTTCAAAAATGTCATTAGATTTGCTTATATCAAACCCCTTTGACGGCGCAGTGGTTGTGACAGTGACAGTATAATTTAATTGAATTACCTATTACATTTCCTGCGTTTACATGTTTATTGACTAGAGCATTAATATAAGACGTTTACATTGTTGTAATTGAAATTTTGGTAATTTTTTTTGTTTTTTCCAACGCAGAACTCACCGGGCAATGTCCGTGATTTCGCCGTCGAGTTGATGGGTTCCATCGGTCAGAGTCTCAGACCATCCAATTTGTTTTCTCGGGGACTGACAAACGGCACTACGACCACGGCCAGCCGACGATGATGACATCGGAGGAGGAGGCAAAGTCAATATCAAATCCAAAGTCAGAGTAGTCAAAATCGGTGACGAAGAAAGCACTAAGTGTCGATGGAACGTCACAATTACATGATAATAATTATACAATAAATCATAATAATATTATGGAGCCATTTAACTGTCAATCATAAACCATATTATTATTATGCAACCGATTGAATATAATATATTATATTATTTATTGCAATATGTATATTATATTGAATCGATATATTTATCATCAGTTATAGTCATCATTAGTAAATAATAGTAATTAGTAGCTTATTAATAGTTTGTATAATTTATTAGAGTACAACGGGAACGTAGGTACATTTATTATATTTTTTTCTGTAAACGCACTGGTCAAAGGAGTTGGAGTGAGTACATTATATGCATGTAATATGTGTATTGCTCTGATCCGCCATAATAATCTTAGGGCGTATGCTGTTCATACGTAACCAACAAATGTATATATTTTTTTAGTATTATTTTTACCATTATTGTATTGTATTGTTTCGCGTAAGACTCAACGTGTTATACTTATAAAAATATTTAAACAATTGTACGAGAGTTTTAATATTATTTAATTTTTTCACAATGTAGTCATATGTTGCAAGTGATGTTACTATACAACGCGCATTGGTTTATTATTTATTCAAAATATAATATTTTCCTATGGCTATATACATATGAGTAAATATACATTACAATAAATGATTGACTGCAGAAGGTATTTTTACTTGGTAAGATAATATGTTACCACATCGTCATGGCAATATAGTAATTTTAACATAAGATTCCGACACCACAAGTTAACTATATGCTACATAAAAAGAAAAAAGCACCAAGATTTGATTTTTTTGTGAGCTAATAATTGGAAAATGTACTACATTCAAACATTTATATTTTACTCATTTCCGTAATAAATGCCCTTCAAAATACACAATACCTATTCCATTTAAATAAAGGTTCAACTGTCTGCCTGGAAAAAAATACTCTTTATAAGGAAGGATTATCAGTGGAAGAAATCAAACAACAATAGAAAACGAAACAATGTAATTCACGCTGTCATTGTCTTAGTACCTATATCATACTTAAATTCAAGTTAGATTTAAAATAAAAACTAAATACTAATTTTATAATGCAACATTATTATTTTGTCCAAAGGTAGGTATATGAGAAATTTCATGATCCAAGAAATTTGAACATTGGATAAATTATACAACAATCAAAGTGACTCGTGACTCCCTGATTTAGGTCTTAATCGTAAGACTAAACTTACTTTTTAAGGGGTTTTATATAGGCAATTTTAATAACAATTTAAATCTTCAATATATTTAAATATATATTATATCAATAATTCTATGTAAGTTACAATTTGTTTCATGATTGATGTTGCGTAATGCTATTACGATGGCATATTTTATAGAAAAACAGTTTCAGCTGTGGTTAAAAACACAGAGAAGAGTACATCAGAAATGTTAACTAAAATTAAGTCGGTTAGTATTATGTCAGTATGCGACAAATTGGTAGGTGATCAGTCTCCTCCATGACTTGTGAGATATACTAATGTGCATCTGACGTAGTCGTAGCCGGATGAGACACTTTTTTATAAAAGCGCTAGATCAAAAGTATACTTATACTTTTTTTAATATAATATGTCAGTTGTTCAAGTAAAAACTATAAGTATGAAAACCAATAACTATAAGTATCTCCGTCCGGATATATTATGTTTTTGAAAATGCAAACAATGCAAACTGAAGAATCCCCTTATAAGATAACTACTGTTTTAAAATATGTTTTTTTAAATAAACCAAATATTTGTTATAACTTATAATTTTTAAAATTATGGTCTCTATAGTACCAACAGTAATTAATTTATATGTATATTGTGTATCATTATTTTAAGCTACGAGTTACAACTTGTGAGAATTTAATTTCTATTTATTTGTAGGAGAAAATTTAGCTTTATTGAACCTCCCCCCCTGAACCCATATTTTGCGATTGTGACTCACTTAAAATTGTTATTTTAAATTTACTAGTTAAACAATAATATATATAGTATGCATACACATTACACACGTAAGCCTAACTTGTTATCTTGTTGATTTTTATCATATAACTATCAAAAAGATGAGAGATAATGTGAAAGTAAAATTTTAAACAAAAATGGTTTTAGAATGATGAGTGTGCTTTTTTGAGATTCTGAGCGGAACGATTTTATCCATGTTATTAGTATGTGTCTATAACCATCTTTTGGATCAGCAAAAAAACTAAACATGTTTATAAAATGTCTACTATTGGTACCAAAGGGCTCAAAGTAAACAATTCCCGGCTTTTTTCAAAATATTCAGGAAAAACAACAAAATAATTAGACTAAAATGTTAAAGCTTTCGACAAAATCGTATTTATTTTTGGATTTTGTTCTATTTATAGGACATTTTAAATATTTGAAACATGATTTTAGGTTCTTTTAGAAATACATATCTAAAAAAAAATACATTCGTAAGAATGATAACTTTTTTGTATTTGAGTAAAAAAGGTCGACAGTTTGGTACATAGTTGTTTACAAGTATTGTATAGGTACTTAAAAAACTATTTAAAAAACAAGGTAATAATTTTTTTCATATTATAAGTGTTTAAATTAAAGTTACATTTTTTTCGATTTTTACGCTAAAAATTAATACGATTTTAACACGATTTCTAGTAATTTTTTAACTAAAATCATAAAAAAGTTTAAAAAAAAATAATAATCATAACGAAAAGCCACTTCAAATTTTTTGAGCGATTGAAGTTTAAATGCTTACGACATTGTATATTCAAATTTCAAACGTGCCTAGGCATACTAAAACAGTTTATCGTATAGGTAACACATTAGGTTAATTTGAGAATATTCAGAATATATTAATCGTAGAAATTCATTGTATTCCACTATTACTCAAATTATCATTTTGTACTTACAATGAAATTTAAAAAATATTTAGACAAATTTTAAGCAATTCATAGTAGTTTGGAATTTAAAATTATCTTAATTTAAAATGTAATAAAATATCCTATATAAGTTGCAGTTCTAATAGCAGTTTGAAATTGTTTAAAACATATTGGCATACAATTTTACCAAAATTCGTTTAAATCACCAAAATCTGCAAATTATTTTCTATTTACAACTGTATAACATTTTCAAATTTAATAGTTAATTAATTAGCCTAGTTAACGGTTTTATTGGGAAAATTATAAATTTAAATGTTTTGACTAACGATAGTTTTGAGAACTAACTAAAAAAGCTGAAATTAGTAATTCTGAAATGTTGAAAGCAATCTCCTAAATCTATTTTTAAAATTTGCTTTTAAACAGAACTTAAATTTAGTTCATTAAATTCTTTTTATGAAAAAAAGCCACCAAGAACATATTCTATTCCCATGCGGCTATCCAACTTTAATCAAACAAATTATCACAGAATGTGATATCAGAGTCCAGAGACCTGAAAAATACAAGAGGCCCGATAAAAATTTGACAAACTCGAGTCCTTTCATGATGCATTGGAGACCAACAAAGATTCCATTAAAAAAAAAAAATTATTGTTATGTATGAAATATATTAAATTGTACAATTTACTTTAAGTAATTTAAATATTTAATACAAGCCAATGATCCTGTTATCAAGGTTTCAACTTTAATAAAACAATCCACTATTTATTCAAAAATATTAAGTATTAGTGTATTGCATGCCAAAATTAAAACGTTTATGATTAAGGGGATTCGATACCGGGAATCGGGATTGTCTGTTTTTGTCTAACACACTCGCTTATTTTATGCGTGTTTTTTGCCAAACATACCAAATTATCTAATGAAACGATTAGAATTCTGAAAACAGATTTTAATTTGTCGTCAAGTCTACTTGAACTCGACTTTCCCACATTTTTCATATTATAACCCAAAATCCTAAAATAATCATAACCTAACCATAACCTAACCTTTGGATAAGTTAAAATCAAAAAACCAAAAATATGGGAATGTCGATTTCAAGAAGTCTTGATGACAAATTCAAATATGTTTTAAAAATCTTAATGCTTCATTAGATCAATTGGTATGTTTGGCAAACAACTAGTCTAAAATCCTATGTCGGGCGTATGTTAGACAAAAACAGAAAATCAAGGTATCGAATCCCCTTAAAATAAAGTAGAATATTTATAACAATATCATACATTGAAATACACTGTATAATCGAAAGTGATCTATACCTACGTGTGTATAAGGTTAAAGCCGTTAAAGGTGTATGAAAAATAAATTGTAAAAAATACCTAATAAACGTATCTATATTTTAAGCGCTTCGCAGGTAGGTTATTGTTATTATTATTATCGAAAAACTTTACACACATAAATCTGGAACTTTTATTATCTATTCAACTCGTAACTCATGCCGGTAATCTAGTAATTACAATTTGTACGAGGAAATTATAACGAGTCATAAGTATAACTTAACTGTTACCATGCCGCCGCCTCCGGCGTATGTAGCTGTAACACTGTGAGCTATTACCTATTTACCTAATTCTGTAATAATATTATATGGAAATACGGATAGTCGACGATAGTTGACAGGTCGCAGCAGGGGGAGGAGTGAACGTCGCGCCGTCGCTGTGCCGGTACCACACAGCATCCGACAAGGGGGCGGCTACGACGACTACGACGTCGACCGTGTAAAACAGAGCACAACTCGTATACACCGTGGCAACGATACAGAGCGTCGCGTGACACGTGTTGTGCTGTGTTCAAGTAGTGAGTCTGAATATAATATATAATATTATTATTATTGACAATTACGTGAGGCATTTCCGATAGCACGTAAACGTGGACAAGCGTAATTATTGTAATATAAGTATTTAAGTACCCACATAACGTACAGATTGTGTCACCCACACGTCCAGGAGTCCGAGGTAAGAGTGAGCCGAACAATTTAATGTTTGACTATAATATTGTTGTATAATATTATTAATTATTTTGGAGGGGGCGGCGCTCAGAAATTGTCCGCACGAGACACATTTTTACGATGGCTTTCCTCTTGCGCGACTGTTTTTATTTTTTTTTCGCAAACTGTGTAGGTAGGTATATTACATTACCACAGCTATTATTTTTATTTTATTACTACGATCGCAGGAATGCTACGAAAACTACAGCTGTCGATCGACTGATACGAACATTATTATTATTATACAACATATTTTTAAGGGGTACGGTATAGGTAAATTTTAACTTATTTTAATAAGCATTAAAATGATAATCCACAAGTGGCCACACTTCAGTGCCACTCGTGATATATTTACGAATACAAAATTATAAATAAAAATAAAAATTTCGGATGAATCAAAACCATTTGGTAAAAGTTTTCAACATACCCAATTGTTTGTCACAAGCATAAGATAACTTTATCTGTGATGTAGGCAGACAAGCAGCATTTATATAGATAACATAATGTTTTTAAATGATTTAAATATTTTGTTGGTTTTTACACAGAATTATTGAGTTTAACAAGAATAAAATAAAAACGCCTCATCGCAGATTAGTAAAATAGTAATATTAGTATAATTCATAATTTTAATACAATATTATTTCAATATAACGTTTATTGGTGTATTATACTATTATACTTATACATATAATACTGGAATGTTTACGCGCACACGGCGAAATAATAAAAATATCCACAGTGCATGTAGGTATTATGTTTAAGGTGACCAAACTGTGGCATATACCTATAGAGATACCTATACTTCAAATATTTATATTGTATCAAAACAAATCACGGTTTAAGACGTGTACTTGAATATTTGATTTTATTACGCACACATAGTAAATGTTATTGCTTATAACACTATTGTGTTTTTAAAAGTTTTGTTAATTTATTCTCATGTATTCAAACTAATTCTCCGACGGTATAGTTACGGCATTGTATCTTCACAATAGAATGTAATCATAAAAACAACTTCAATTGCGCAAAATCGATTTTTGAGTGGGTAGTAACTCATCTCACTTTCTTTACTATGTAACATAATATAGTGGCTGCACCTGGTTTTTAGGTATTAACAAGTGCAACTGCTAACTAGATAATGTGCGAATAATAAATGTAAATTTCCAAGCAGCATGCACGTTATGCAATTTAAATTATTATATAATAATGTGACAGATGCAAAATAAATATTGAACTGTTGCAATTTTAAAATAAAATAATAATTTATATATTAATATGTTAAATATGTTTTTTACTTGTTATTAATTTTATATTTGCTTACTATAAATATTATACCGACAAATAAAAAAAATATATTTATTAAAGACTAAATACTATCCAAATTGGTCAAATAAAAAATTGTTTACCTATTTAATTGTTTTAAAACGCCAAGGTACAAACATTTAATGCCATAATAAATTACGCTAACGGCTATCAGAATACCTATGAGTTTAAAATGTACAGTCAACATTAATCGCAATTAGAAATTCGAGCGCGTTAGTCTACAGTAAGTTCTTATATAATGTACTAAATTAATAGTAAAAAAAAATACATTATATAATATACCACCCTAGTTACTAATCTATTTCCAGCAATACAGGTACATGCCCAGCTACATGTCTATTGTCTACATCTATATATAAACCAGAAGTGAAGAAGGCTAGCCGCGGAGGTATTCTAGGGATGCACTAAATGCAAACACTATTTGTACTATCACCTTAATATTAATTAATATTTATTAACTATAAATGTTATATTATATAGGTTTTACAGTGGTGTTTATTTTTTTCAGCAATCATTTTTTCAACAAATCCAAACATTGCAGCTTCTGATTGGATCGAAACTTTTACATAGAAAGGAACTTTAGAGGGGTATTTATTATTTTGAATATTTTTCATAATATACAAACATTTTTTACGAAGATATTACTTATACAAAAGTTATTATTTCATATCCATTTACCATTACCGATTGGTTAAATTTTGCTGAATTTTGTAATTATTTATTGTAAAATATATATGAGATAATTACATTAATATAATTAATATTGTAATAAATCATAACAAAATAATAATAATAATAATAATAATGACAGTTATAGTTTAATAATGAAAAAAAAAATATTGGTTTAATATGCAATATATTATATCAACACATAAATTATATTTACTAGTTACATTTAGTTAATACACCTACATCATAATAATATAAACACCATGCACGTATATTATATGGAATATCTCACACTCTCACTAGCTTCGTTATTACAAATAAATATTCTTAAAACATAGGTTTAGAAAATAATTTCTGGATCTAGTCACAATGATTAAAATTTAAAGTATATTTGCTTTCCCTGAAAACAAAATAGAATAGTTAGGTATAACTTATAAGTTTGTACTTGTGGTTCTTAAAGCACATTTAATTTCTATTGAACATTGAATAATAATAAACGTTCCTATAGAGATCAAATACAGTCATCCTTAATATTAAAAACAATGTATTATTAGGTTCCTAAAGTGTTTAATATTTTAATATGTCTAATAAGATTACGTTTTATTTGTGTACAGAATTGCGTCATCGTGTTTTGGATCACACTGGATACGGAAGGTGTCTGAATCACAGTCGAAGCAAAACAACAACCTGGGAATTTCGTTACATCATAATTAAGTGGATATTATCTCGTTAGGTAAACAAAAAAAGTCAAAAATGACCTCTACTATTTACGCTGCGTTCGTGTTGCAACAACACGAACTGGAATCCAACGGCGACTTAACGCATCAGATCATGATATTCACTGAATCCGAAGACCCCGCGCACTCGCCGTACGTTAAGATGAAGAACGTGTCCATGGACGTGCTGGCCGAGGCGATACAAAAACGGCTAGGCGACCACAGCGCGTACAAGTTTTTGAACCGACGGTCGGACGACGACCGCGACGGCGTTATGCTGTACGCGATTCCGACGGTGGAAACCGACGACGAAGAGCTTGACCAGTTCAAGTTTGTGTCCAGCCACGAGGGGACGAAGAGGGTGTTGACCGAGGTCATGGAGGATTTGGGCTGCGAGTACACTCGCCTGTTGCCGGACATCGAGATCTCACGCGTCGATTCGATGGCCACCTGGACGCTGACCGTGTCCGAGAGCCACGAGTACCACGAACTGAGACTGACGCCGGGAAATCGGTGCACCAATGACGACGTGACGCCGCACACGAGCACCGCCGAGTTGCAGATCAATAACATTCGTCTGTCGGAGATATTGTACTTGGCCGAGTACACGCATACGATAAGTCCAAATTTGGAGCGTTACTGTGACGTGCCGTTGTATCTGGGCTCCAAACGGACTTGCGAGAGATTTAAATTCCCCAAGACGGCCAAGACGTCTGCGCAAATTGTGCGGGAAATACAGCGCAAGATCGACAGAACGCACGTACCTCTTTCCGAGCTGTGGAACATAGTCATGGGCGGTGTCAAATTTTTTATATAATATTTTTCAGCCTATATCAAATCACGCGGGAATTGTTCAGCCATCATTTTATTAAGGTTGAACATTTAAATCAAATCGAATTGATTGAGTTGTATTGTTTTTTTTTTTTTGTGTGTGTTTGTAACCATCATAATAAGTTCTATACACACGTAATATTATAATTCGGAATAAAATAAAATTACCAATAAGCCTCCAAATAAGTGAAATTAATTTATATTACACCAGAATAATCAATACGTATATCGACGGTAGTCAATTAATCATAAAATAAGTATTGTGTCTGATGGTTTAAAGTTTACAAAACTCTAAAAAAAAAAAAAGAACCAGTAAAAGTGATTTCATATTTGTATTAAAATTTAAAATATAAGAGTATAAAACTCACTATAATTTGACTTCTATTTTTAAATTACAAATTAGATATAATGAGTAATACAAATATACAATATTACAATGTAAAAATCGATTTAATAAAAAGTTATAATACGTAGATAGGTACATACTTTTAACAAATTTATTATCCGGATTATATCGAAGAAATGAGCTAGATTACTCATTAAAATAAAACTGATGCTATAACTATACATCCATTGCACACATACAAAACTAAATGAATACCGATAATACTTTCCAATTAACACCGATTTAGTTCAAAAAATAATATATAAATCGGCAACTAAGAAACTAAAATTAACCCAAAATACTTTTACAAAATACTAAAAATTAAAATAAAAGCCATGTATCTATTTGTTATACATTTAGAAATGTAGTTGAATAATTAAAAAATAATTTTTCTTTTTATCTTAATATACGTTTAAAATGAAAAAAATAGCTATTGCAATTAATGTACACAATGTAAACAATACAAAATTTAAGTAAACACGTTTTTTAAAATATCTTCCTTTCTTATTTACGTTGATGTGGTGTTCTTTCATTTTTTTAAAATCTGAATAAAACTCGTATCAATTATTATTAATACAAGTACATTTTAATTTATTTTTGTACAACGTATACTAGTATGATACATATTTTCTTAAATATAAATACCTACTATATGTAATAAGCTTGTAAGTATACATTTTGTTGTGAATTAAAAAAATTATACTTAAAATAATTGATACATAAGTCATAATAAGTGTTTTAACAACAACTTTATAATATATTTAGGCACGTTTGGTACAAATTAATATTATTGATTTTAGTAAAAAAAAGTTATTTGTCCAAAATATGGACACGTTGGCACTTAAAATGGATGGATTTTGTTTCAATGCTCTATACGGCTTATAAATTATAATAATACTGTATTTATTTATTAAGCTCATATTATGGTATTATAGGTTTTGTTGATTTTGTAATTAAATAATATTTTATTGTTGTATAAAAACTAAAAGAAAAATACGTTAAAACTATATTAACTACTTTGCACAAAAAAAAAAAATTAAATGCGAGAGACACAAAATAGCGTGGCTTTATTTTTCTGCACCATATTTATCTATCTAGTATATATTATATGACTTAGAATATTTTATATGAAATAAAAACACATAAGTATTTAAGATTAGAGCTATAATATTAGTATAATATTAATATTAGTCTACAAATATTAGTATGTAGCATAGGATTTAACATTTGTATATAAGTACTACTTATAAAATAACACATAAAAAAATTATCAATACCTATTATAATTTGTAAGTAATCAAATTCTATTTAAAACGATGTTCTTTTATTGTATAAAATCGACCATATTATGTTTTGTTCTGAAAATAATATTTATAATTTATGTAAGATTTTTATATTGTTGTCAAATTAATCGTTTAAACTGTTCAAAATAATTCCTGCCGAAGAACATATACACTTCATTTTCGGTTTTCAATGTTTTCATCTATATATCTATATCATTCTTTTGTATGATTTATTTTGGTGTTTATTGATTGTTTTTGATTGATTATTCCTAAAACAGATTGCTTGAATAAAAAATTATAATAAACATTTTTCATTAAATAATAATATAATATGTAATTTATGAAAGTAAAAATCTTTATCTGCTTTCGCCAAGGATTTCGTATATTTTGTGGGAATATTAGACGGTTTGCGGAGACAACCAACAAATAAACTGAGAGTTTCTTTCCTGTATTTAAAATATCAGGTGTGTTGGTTTATTTTCAATTTACACAGTTTATGCAATCGTGTTACATTCTACTACAATTAAAAGGTAATTTAATTATCGATATTGTTTTTAACTTAATCAACAATTTTAATAACTAGGTCGTGGATTTAATGAAAATATAATTATTTTTTTCTGTGTGTCTTAAAACATTGCTCTCAAAGAACAAAATCCGTTCTATAGATAAAAGATTTAAAAAAAAAATACATTTATTTTACACTTTGATTTTTTTTTAAAGTTTAGAGCATATTTTGAGGAATTTATATTCTGTTAGATTTTTTCATACATTTTTTTATAATAGTTGTATAACATTTAAGTTTAAATTAACATCCTAAAAACAAAAATAAAATAATTTATTATTTATTTGGCTTCATGGTATTATAATATTTTGTATTACCTATCATGTTTTCACCTATATATCAGAGAAATGCTGTGGCAGCTACGACTGCACAGCTGTCTGACGAACGCAATTTTCAGTTTCTTAATATAGATATAAGTCTGTCGTTTTATTTATGAACGGTTGGATTCAATCCCAGTTGTACTTTATCCCAAAATATATAAGGCCCGATTGGTTAAAGGTATTTCTCGCCATATCAAAGATTTTATGTATTTATGATATAATTTAACAACACGAAAGAGAATACTACGTTACATTGAAGTTTATAAAAAATTGTTTATAAATTGTTATTACTAATTAAAAATGGACGTAATGGAGATGAATATGAATTATATCTCGGTGTGTGTTTGAAATTGTATACAATTTTTATTTTTTAGTTTTTGAGTTTTCGACTAACCAAATTGATGTAATAGTTAATAGATATTATGTCAATTATACTGACTATCCTAGTTATCGGATACAAAATAATAAATGTATTAAAAATTAAAATATTTCAATTCGTCACGAAGTTTAAAAGAAAACAACTTTTTACTTTTTTGAATTTGAAGTAGTATGACCTTTAAAATGTGAAGAAATTTAGAATTGTAAAATACTAATATTAAAGTATTTAACAAATTCAAGAATGTAGGAGAGTATTATAACTTCAAGACGAACTTAAATTAGGTTTAATTAATTTTGTCGGTTAACGAAGTTTGTGAAGGATCCATCACTGTTCATGTTGTTGTTAATTACGTATATTTATTACCATTTCATCATATTTACTGTGAAAATTTAATTTACCAACACAATTAGCATAACATTGATATTACAATTTACAATATTTGTTTAGCTCGCGACAGTGCGATTTTGACTTGTGTGTGTGCGTGGGGAAGTGTCTACTTTCATGTAATCGAAAATATAATTCTTAATGATAATTTAATACAATATATTAATATACTCCCACATACACGCCATGCATCAATTCACTGTACAAATTGCTATAAAAATGCCTATACTCAACTCCTTAAAAATGATTATTATTCAATTTATAATACCTTGAATCACGATAACGTCGAATGAAGATTTTTATTGAATAATTGTCACTAATAAATAAAAAAATTATGTTAAAACAATTTTATAGGTAATGTTATAAAACTTTGTGATATTATTAGTCCATTAAACTGCATTTTTTTTGTTTTTTTTTTATAAATAATTTAAACACACCTTAATAATAACATAATCTGGTATGGTTCTGTATTTCTATGTCAATATTAAACCCGAATCGGTCAGTAACAAATAAAATAATTGAATTTTCGATTACTAAAGGTATTCCAAGATATTATGATGGTAAATAATTTAGTAACACGAAAAGAGAAGCATTCGTTTCAGGTTAAAATGTTTAAGAATGGTAAATTGATGTATAGTGGAGACATGAATTATATGCATGAATAATAATATTATTTACCTTGCTATTTATTTATTTTTATGGTTTTCGACTAACCAAATTATCGAAACGGTTAATCAGGTCAAACATTTTTTAATATAATATAATATTACAATCGTATTCATTATAAGGTACTAAATATACACAATGAAACACTCTCTTAGAAAAACTGCAACAATTCTCATTTAATATTTTTCAGCAGTTTTTTTATGATTTACTGATGACATTGAATGTATTTTTATGGTCTTTTAAAAACCATGATATATCTCCTTCTATTTTACATTTATATTACAAGATAATAAACTGAAGAGGGTAAGGACCTCCCCATTAGAATATATTTCTGGGACAAGTCACTACTTGCGATTGTTTAATAATATTATAATATGCAGTAAACGTAAATAGAGTAAAGTAATATACCATGAATATGCCAAGTATATAGTGATATATATAGATATATATACATAACACTATATTTTTTATACACACATAATAATTTAAAATCATAATTTGTACATTAGTACAATTGTACATTACAATTTGTACGAATATTGTACAATGTACATTTTACTTGTACTGAGTATATTGATAAATAAGGCACTATTTGTACCCTCTGTGATTGGACTTAAATCGTATATCAGATATGAAAAGGAGACATACTGTGACAGTATAGAGTTAATAATTTTGCGGTCATGGGATTTGTATCTAGTACAACCCGTAAAAATTGATATTTATTTTACAACATAATATTATAATACTGGAGTATTTCATTTCGGTTAAGCATCAAATTTACCCTGCTCATGCCGTAAGTCATAACGTGGTTTAAGCTCGTGGAAATTGTCCGTGACCATGGTAACCGCAGGGGTTGCTGTATCGATCGGGCTGATGGTATCGCAGGGGTGTATATAACATACGAACATTTTGTTATACTATATTTTAATAAATAAAAAACGTTGGTTCGTTTGGTTGTTTGCGAAAGTATTAAAAAAAAAACAAAATGTTCTATCGATGGTTTCTTGTTCATATAAATCATGATGTGTTAGTTTTTACCAAAAAAGAAAAACAAAAATACAATTGAAGGAAAAGGTTGACATGGAAATGATACTTCAAGGATTCCTGTGTACGTATTGTATGGTTGAAGTGTAGTATAAGATGTGCAAGCACCACAGCCAATAAAATACGACATCAAACTAGAGAAAATTCCGTGTATTTATAGGCATATTTTAAACATTTATTATTTATCTACTCCCGCCCAAGTGCACCTTTGTGTTGTGGAGTAAACGGTTTCAACAATTTAATACATATTATATATTATTAAAATAAAAATCGCCTAAATTAACGTGTATAAGACATATTTAAATTAGGAAACTAATATAAATTTGTAATATTATTAAAAACAATTGCATCGACAATAAGTGTGTATATTTGTATTTATTTATTAATTATAAATTATTTTTTTAATTAAACGTTATAGAGACATTCCACAAAGTTTTATTTTTCCTATATAAAACATTTTTTTTCATATTTCTGTCAACAGTCGTGTACTTTTATAATATAACCTACTTTCACTCAGAAGTGCTCACCAACAAACTGCGCTGTAATAATGTTACAGGGTCGCTGTTTTCAAGCTTCAACTCCTACTGTTGTAGTTTACCCGCCGGTTCACCCTGAAATGAACCCCAAGCTTGATCGATCGCTGTGCCGGGCTTCGCTCAACGTCGGAATAGTCTCCTCCACCCTCGCCGTCAAACACTCACTCTCCCGCTCACCTCTATCTCTTTCGCATTTTCTCTTCCGTTCGTCTCACTGCACCACGCCAGTCCACCCCACTCTCCACCGCGACAAGTTGCTCGTTTCATCAACCTCACGTTGTATATAATATTAAATTTTACGGCGTAATATACTTTTACAATCGCAAGAATTGCACCTGCGCGAATTATATTATATTCAATCTTATTTCCCACATCAGCTCCTACGCCGAGCCAAACACCCCACTGTGAGCGGCTGCAGGACCCACGCACGCGCCACAAGCTGGGAAAAACCCGGACGCCACCAGGGAATCGCACCCGACTGGGCGTTAAGATTCGAGGCAGTTCACTAGCAACTCGACACCTGTTCAGACGCCCTAGTTCGTGTGACCTATTTTCTCGAATTCCAATAGTATAGTGATTAGTGTAGTGAACAACACAATATTATTATCATAATAAAATAACGCTTCCGCGTAGTGCAAAAACAGTTTTTTTTCACAAATCCACAGCTTTATGCAGCTTTGACACGCTGAAAAATCATACGTACTTCATTACACCGTTTTCCGCGTCCACCCGACCAAGCGGGCAGCACTGGTAACCACTACCTACTCAAGACCACTGCATCATCAAGTAAGTAGGCATCCGAACGCCTTCTTTTACATAACCGTATGACCGAATAACCGTATTGGTATTTCGAGTAAAGAGAGAGAGAGACAGATATTTAATTGTCGATCGAAGCGTTGGCGCGTAGTTAAACCTGCACCGAATTTCCCACGCAGCGCTGAACGGGAGACGAGTAGGTTCTTCAACAATAACAATAATAATAATAACAACAACAACATCACTGTTGCGCAACCACCGACTGATCAACGTTAAGTTTCGCGATACATCCCGTTCCATCGTAAGCAATCGCAGACGGATTTTCTAATGTCTGGTATGCAGCCACTGAGTTTGATTTACATGCTTGCCGACCAGTATATGCTGGCGTTGCCGTACATGTTCCTAAACATTATAAAGGAGGAAATACCTCGCTGGTTCACCTGGCTACCTAGGCTAAGGAATTTCGTGAGCTATATGATGTTTAAGGCATAAGCCGAGCGTCGAGCGGTGGCGATCAGTACGACGGCGGTGGCTGTGGCGGCGGCTGCTGCTGCGGCTGCTTCTGAGAGCGTGGGATACCGAGAGACGGTCGTTTTCTCCTCCGCCAACGCGACTCGGATAGATAAGTTGAGCAATCGCCGTCAACCCGTGCCGCCCTCACTCCACCCGCGGTTACGCAACGCAACGCGTACATAGACGGCCTCCCTCCACACTGCCGGACGTCACGTCAGACATGTGCATGCCCGAGGATCACGGCGATGCCGCGGTCATTTCGTACGTAGATTTCTTCGCAGCGACGCCGGTACAGCCGCTTCCTCCGACACGACCGCCGTACCAACATCAGCTCACACTTCGACATCAACGCCCTGTACCGTCTTTGACGTTGGCCGTGGTACCGGAAACGTCTGCATCGGCACCGGAAGACAACGCCACGACCGTCGCTGCCACGCCGAAGCGGGCACATAGGACTTTGCGTTGCACGTGTCACAACACACCGGCGGCTATGCGATTGGGCGCAAAACGACACGTGACAGCCACTGACGACGTCACGTTGTCCATCCGGCTATTCATCACGCTGTCCATCGCTATCCTGGCAACCAAACTGATCGCCGACGCCGTGTACTCGACTGGCGTACACTGCTCCTCGGTGGGCAATCCACACTCTCACAGGGCCAAGAGACAGTTGCCGCCGATTGAGCAGGGCAACATGGTGATCGACAGCATATTTCAGGTGAGCTCCATCACCGCAGGTAAAATATTATCAAAATATATAACATTATCACATGATTTAATTGATCACTAAGTGATCACTATAAGTCTTATAGTTAATACAAACAGCTGCCAAAATGTCTATTGTCTCATTGGTGTGACTTTCCTGGGCCCGAGAAAACAACAAATTTCATTTTCTAGTGAATATTTAATATTTTATCATAATAATATTATGTATTTATGTAACACTGCTATACAGTACAGACGCTTATCGTTTAAATCAAAACGGTACACCCGCTCGAGGTTATAGACGTACAACATAATAAATTCGCAGCAAGGCTGATTTTGTGTTCTTTGTATTAATATATTACAATAAGTAATTACATTGAGTTTAACTGCCATAAAACTGACGAGGAAAGTACATTGTAATTTGTGTTTATATGTCGTTTTTTTTTTACTGAGATTCAACTTTTAAGCAAGTTATATAGAGTTATATATTATATTGTATAATATTACAATTCAAAAATACTCAATTAAACATTTAAATATCGTAATAAACTAACATATGTAAACACTGCAAATAATGTTCAAACTTTAAACTGGTAACATGCCTCTCACTATAATATAAAATCTAAAAACACAACATTTATTCGGTTGAACTGAAATTTGCTTAGTATCCTGATATAAGTATTAAGATTGCAGATGGCAAATTCATTTTCACGAGTACTTTCTATTATAAATCAATTTTTTTTTTACACCAAAATAAATATTTATTCAAAATTGGTGTGAACCAAATAGAGAACTTCAAACAGGATTGTTTTTAATATTGCTAGGATCAAAATATTATACATCATTACAATTTACATCCTAGCGTAAATAATTATGTCCAGGCTGTGTCCATCGTAAATAGTCATAGGTAGTGAAATATTAATTATTATTATTGTATATATGTAAACCCGACAATATATCTACATCACATTGTTTAAATTTCGTTTTCTGGTTGCAGAACGCAGAAAAATAATCTATGGTAAATTAATTACAGTATAAAATATTATATTTATTTAAAAAATACTACCAATAATAATATGTCTATAAACACAATAATATTTAAAATGTTGGGTCCACTAAAGCCTAACTATTTCATAAAACCTTAATCCATACAATTTCTGTAGAGGTCTATAATATACGATGTACACTCAGTTGGAATGTAAAATCATAATACGACAATCATAATAATAATTGTTCATAACTATCAATAAACATAATAATATCTAATTAATACCTAATAAATTATCTGAATACCTATGTTTTTCGTACATCTAAAGTAAATAAATCCGTTTTTGCATTAATTTTAGCAACCACTAGCAGAAAATATTATTGTTGAAATATTAATTGAACTATTGTTTATTATTTGTTAATGGTGTCTCACTATAAGTGTTTCGTTCATAAACATATTGCCGCAGATCGATTGCTTTTTGAGCAATAATAATTATAAAAATAGATACAACGTAAAAGATAATAAGAATTAATAAGGATCTCATATTATGCTTTTTTAAATATTAATTCAACAAAAACTTGCAATACTTAACGATCAATTCTAAACGTATCGAGAACTTACAACATGCGATCTTTTACTTTTAATAATCAAATGTTAAAATCTCACTAAAACCTATAGCCAATGGCTTAATGAATTGTCTACATCATATAGTAATCACGCAATAACTGTCGAAAGTTATGACTTGGAGGGTAGGAATTAAATTTAATGGTATATATTATATTTGAAATTTAAATACATACTTTTTTATACATGTTATTAAAATTGCCTATACTAAACCCCTTAAAAACACATGCATGTGGTGATACGTCATTCTGTACTGTTTGGTCGTCAGTGGCTTACTGCTAAATATTCTAACCAAATATGATAATAATGATGAAATCACGAGTATGATAATTAACTCTTTGAGGGGCCGTGGTTAGTATGCTAACCACTTTTTTTTTTACCGTTCAGGTGCGGTGGTTACTATTTTAACCACTTTAAAAATTATTTTTAATATTTTTTTGATGATGGTCAGCATACCAATCACCTTATTATCATCTTATATATGCATCAAACAATATCACTGCCGCTGGCCTGATATCATTTCTCGCGTTTTTCATCATTTATTATCATTATCAATATTTTGATATACGTACTAAATGTTATGGTAAAGAGACATATTGCCCACATGGGTCTTTTTTCTAAAGGAAATTTTCGCCCCTCAAAGAGTTAAAATGATATGTTTTTGTAGATTCCTATAAAAACGCTCAGCGCCGTCGGGACACTAATTAAGACTGCCCGTCCTCTGGTGCGCAGGACCCGCGAACGCATCCAGCAGTACTACACGGGTTACCAGCAGCAATACAGCAACGGCCAGCAGCAATACGGCAACGGTCAGCAGCAGTACGGCAACGGTCAGCAGCAGTACGGCAACGGTCTGCAGCAGTACGGCAACGGTCTGCAGCAATACAGCAATGGCCAGCAGTACTACAGCAATGGCCAGCAGTACTACACCAGTGGTCAGAAGCGCTACAGCATTGGCCGTGTGAACTCCGACCCGGAATCACGCCAGGACGATAGAGAAGAGTTCGTTCACCGGCCCAAGCGGAAACAGGTGACTTATCGAGCTGGGAACGATCAGCCCGAGGGCCGCCGCCTATACAAATCCGAAGTTTACTGATATCTCCAACGATTTGTAACGAAATACGATGAGTTTTGTTACGAATCGTTGCTCGGATGTCCAGTAATGGTGTTCCTCTCTATTATTGTTCAGATCGCTGACTTACATATAATAGAGATGGTTGCGCACATTTTGTTTATTATCCATTGAAAAAATCAAATGCAACATTTTAGGGTTACTACATAATATATACATTTCATGTTATGAAGTGTCTCACCTACAATATTATACCGTTTATATATTATTATAATTATTATTAGGTATTTAATTTATGTTTTTTTCCTTTTAAGTTTGAAACAATACGTTGAGTTATAGTTTTTCTTAACGATTTTCTAAGACGGTCTTGAAAATTAACTTTGCTCCAAACACGTTACGAATTGACAATTGTTACTGTTTAAAATTTGTCTACCGACTTATTATTACCTACCTTGGTATTAATACAAAGATCAATTTTTAAATCTCTACGAATTATTATTACATTTCAAAAAATATTTTTTTCTCAAACACATTTCAATTAATCATATTTTGTACTTTTTTTTAATGATATCCCATATTTTAACTAGTTTAAATTGATACGCCAAGCTATTATCATTATGACCTAATGCCACTATCATTAAATTTAACTCTTTGTTGTATATAACACTAACCAATTATTCTTATCTTAAAATTGTATCGTTTGTATAACTGTCTACTCATATTCAAAAAATAAAATACCTAGTCTGTCCAAGAACAATACAAATTTGATTTCTCATCCCCATAAAATGTATAAAATGTATAAAATAATCACAATTTGCCAATTAAAAGTCCAAAGTTGTATACAAATACGCGTTTCTTATATTTATTAATTATTATGAGTTAAGTATTGCTCATATATCAGAAATCTGAAATATAGATAATATACCCAATATAATACAATTAATAAAACGTATAAGTACTATTTTCATATCACTGAGTTAAACTGGTTAAAGAATAATCTCTATGATAAAATATATTTCCAAAACTATTTAATTTTAACTAGGTATAAATAATATTTGTATAACGGAACATAAGTGTGAGTTTTTTGAATATATAATAATGTTAATTTTAATTATTAATAGTGGTAGGTAATGTAAATTTCCCGATTATACCTATATCATAATAATATTATGTGTTAATACTTACTAAGTAAATATATTAAAGTACCTGTACAAAATCTAAACTTACTTACAAATAAAAAATAATCACTAACACCATATATTATTTTAATCTTAAAATGGTACAGTTTTGATCACTGGCTCAATCTATTCATATTCAAAAACATAATAGTAAATAATTATACCGTCTTTATGAAAATCTAAATGTTGTTTTATCATCCTTGCGAAATTTACGAAAAATATAATATCTAGTCCTATTCGCCAGTTCTAGGTTTTACAATTAAACGCCATTCTTACTTTTATACCTAGTACCTACTTTGTTATTCATAAGTACGTAATATAATAAAATAGGTTAAATATAAGTACTAAGTCCAGTATGTTTAAAGACTTAAAGTGGCATAATCCTTTTTATTATTATAAGTAGTGTCTGAAGTATGAAATATATCACAAACTTAAAATTTTTTTTAACATTAATAAAAACCCATTTTTTTGTTTTTTTAACACAATGTTCAGTGTTATAAATTCTAATGTAAGAATTCAGTACGTATACAATATACGTATAATATTGTATACCTACTTGCATCATTTAAACATTAAAATATTTAAAAAATGTTAATACCGTTTTAAATGTATAGTACCAAAGGTTAGGTGAACATATAGGTACCAAACAATTATGAAGGCCATTTATGACAATTATATGTAAATATATAACTTATTTAAAAATAAAACAAAATTTGTTAAAATACTGAAATATTTCACCAGTTTGAAATATTTCAAAATTTCAAATTTCATGAAATTTTCAAACACTAAATATAAGGTACGAGTATTCTACCAGAATACCAAAATTACAATATGATGTGAATTGATGTAGCTAGAATAAATAGGCGCGCTCGAACATATGGTTCAGGGGGTGCCCATTATATTATATTATGACCCAAAATAATTTGTTGTAAATTTATTTTCCCTCAAACAAAGAGTCTCACTAGTGGGTGACTTTTTAATCACACATACCATGTTTTCAGTTTCTTTTTAATTTACTGATATTCTTATTAGTTATGCTAAGTAATACCTGTAGATGGCATATTTATTATAAAAAAAAAGAACCTTCTTATAATATAACAACAGTATATTATAATTTAGTAGCTTCCCAGCCCGACGTTGTCCAGGCCAAAGTTTTGTATTTTTAATAAATATATTTGTACAAAATATATATACCACATTTTTTCTAATTATAATATTAATATAATATGTAACGAATTACAACCATTTAGATTGACAAAAAAAAAAAAAAATCATATGTGATCTACCCTTTACCTATCTACAGCCTATATGAGTTGAAAAATAACTTTTATTGAAAACGGTCCAGTCATTTTTTGAGGCTATCGACTTCGAATAAACCAACATCCAATTTTAGTTGTACCTATAACCCGATTAAAAATTAAAAATTTAAAACCGTATTAAAATAAGTAGAGTTCTTTTCGAGATATGCTCGTGCATACAAAAAAGGGGCAGTGTTTCTCTACTATATTATGCGTTTTAAATACGTATAAACCTTCCTCTTGAATCACTCTATCAATTAAGAAAAACCACATCACAGTCCATGTTTAATTTCTAAAATATCTCATGTACAAGTTGTGACTGGTTTGTGCTGACAATTTTTAATGTTACATATGTACCAAAGTATTGTTAAAGATATAAGCCCTTGCACTTTCTGTCAACCAATATAACCTAATATACAGATATCACTAGACACTAATATAATATAGTGTAGTATATACACTGGATATACTACTTGGTACATCAGCCATATCTTTGAGAATATTAATTTCAGTCTAAAATTTTCTAATATTGATGTATTATTTAATTTAAATAAAATATTTCAAGAACAATGATTTAATTGTAACTATATTTTCTATAGCACTAATAAACTCTAAATATTACCTTGTTCAGGCACGACCTGGTCTCCTTTGCAATTTAAACATACATTTATTAGGGCTTGATATAATAATTGGTGACTTAAATGAAGGTTCGGGGTGTTCAGACACCCCCGACACCCCTATGAGCGTGCCTATCATAATAATATAAGGTGTTATAGATATTAAGTATTAGGTAAGCTAGAGCTAGGTAAGTAAAAATATATCTATAGATATAAAGGCCGCGAATACAAACCTAAATAGCATATTAAGCACTATTGATGGAAAAAAATACATTTTTCAGTTTATAAAATAATGTATTCTTTCATCAATTTTCATTTATTCATGTAAAAATATCATGTTACCATTATACAATAAGCTTACACAATTACGATTACATACAATTATTATATATTTATTAATTAATATAAATGATAAAAAACCAATATAAAAAGTATGAAGTACAATGAAAGCTATAAAATTAAATAGGTACCTATGTTACCACTTACCATCTAAGTATAAATATTATAGTATTATACTATATAAGGTTTTAATTGTTATATCTAATAAATTAAATTAATTTAAAAATCATTGTTTATTTAGATAATGAAAATTATTGTCCTGTTCTACAAAGTACAGTACCAAAATTATTTATGATATTTTGTTTAGGTATATTATAAACTAGAAAATAAACTATTTGAGTTTCCCTCACTTAATAATAGGTATATTAATTAATATATTGTTAAAATATTATGCATACATTCTATTTGATGTTTTTCGCATATAGTCAAATATACATTTTAAATCATGCATTATATTTTTAATATAGGTACATCAAAATATGTATAGTAGTATAGTACCATGATAACATAACCATGGGTTTTTATAATTTCAGCCAGAAAAGTATATTTTCATTTCAACCATGATTACATAATTTTGATATAATACGAAAACCAAAGGAACTACCTATACACTTATCGCAACTTTCGAAAAATAAATTTTGGCCGTTCGTCATTTTACGAGTATCACAATAACTCATAATGTATTACATTTTATCTACTAATATACTAAAGACAGCATAATATTAACAAAATTCGTAAAACAATTGTAAAAATCATACATTTTTAGTGGGTTTCAAATTTGTATTATTATTATGTTATTATAATATTTACTTATCTAAATACTAATTTAAAAACTATTGGATAACCTAGAAATTAAAGAAATGATTTGTCGCCACTCTGTATAGGTAGCATAACTTAAATGTATTAATTTATTTTTAATGTCATAATACATGTGTTATGTAATTGCCTATATTGCAACTCATACGTTAAAATAAAAAAAAATAGTTCTAATTCTCATTGTTAAGCCTACTACCTACAGAATATAAAAGTAAATAAAGTTATTTAAATTGAATCTCTAACATCAAAACAATGGCTACAATAATTATTGTAGTGAAAATTTATATATTTCATTAAACTAAAATATATTATAATCACCAAGAGAAAATAACCGATCATCATTATACATTTTATAACACGTGATAAATGTTACAAGGCATTGCAAGCTGCAGCCACAACAGCATACATTAAAAAAAAATTACCTACCATGCTTAGCCTCATATAAAAAGCAGAAATTCCAATTAATGTCGTTAATCATAAAATCTTCTAAAATCTATATGTAAAACCGTGATGGCGATATATCAATATGATTAAACATGAGTTCGATGAATCAATTTTCTATTTTGGGGCTTACTTCATAAAATACAAATATTAATTTAGTAAAAAATGATCGGTCGTTATAAGCAAATTATAATAGCATTCAATTTTAAAAAACCAAAAGTCGATAAGAAAATATAAATAAAATCAAAATGAACAAAACAAGCAATATATTATAATTGTATATTTTGGCTGAAATGAACAATTTGTTAGGATAAATAATAGTTGTTTATTTATTT